GAGTTTATTTTCAGTTAAAATTAGTTTTCCGTAAATGCCTATTAGGAATTTCTATAGCACTAACTTGGAGAGGCCAGGACCCACCAACGATTCCTGCTTGGATAGCTACACCCATTACAACTGCTAGATCAGGATCTACAGATGTGTTAGGTTCCTTTCCAAAGAAATCTTGAATAACTTTGCGTATTTGAGGAATCCGTGTGGAGCCCCCAACTAACACAATTTCATCCACTTCTGCTTTGTGTAGATGGCCTTCCTTCAACACCTGTTCAATGGGCACAAGAATCTTTTCGAAAAGGTCCTCATTCAACATCTCAAATAGCTTCCTAGAGATTTCTGTTTCAAACACAACTTTGACAAAGTTGTTCTGCACTTGTGAACCATGTCCTACCAGATTTTTCTTATCTTTTGTTACTTGTGAAGACTTGTCTTTAAGCACAGTATTTTTGTTCAGCACACTTTCTGGAAGATCTTCTGTAGTCTTTTCTGGGATAGTCAATGACAGCCTTATCGCAGAGGCCTCATGCACAGTCAAATTTAATTTAACTGCTTCCACAGCCTGTCTGAGTCGATGTATTTCTTCTTTTCTTGATGGTAGAGAACCATACCTTTGATGGAGCTCAGCATACAAGTGCTGCAGCAACCTCTGATTAAAATCCTGTCCTCCGAGTTTGTTGTTACCTAAAACATCAGAAAGGGTGCATCAGACATCACAGACTTTAGAAAGCAGAAGTGCATCTTCTTTTATTTGGAGGTGGTTCTCAAGAGCCAAAACAATGACACTAGGATGTGATTCTCTTGCTCTGTGCTTATCAGAGCTGGGAGAATGGATGTTATCCACTGAAGAACACAGGATTGCTGGTCACTTCGAGATTTTTATTTAGCAAATAATTGAAGAATCTACCCCAGCAATCTTCTCTCCTCCCAGAATAGCTCTGTTACAGTGAAATGAAAAAAAGCAGTTGCTGTCGATTCAGTGGAGCTATTCTTTACAGAGAAAAAACACTGTAATAAGGTAAAATTCTAGCTAGAACCCTGTAGCTGAACTGTAGTACTCCTCAGTACATCTTTTTCCAGTCTTAAATTCCCAGTCTTAAAACAAATTTCTCTTTGCCCAGAATAGGCTTTTTCTCTCAGCGCTACCACAGTACAGCTTCATAAGGATCACTGCTTTAACATTTTCAAGTCATTGAAGGGCTTTACACAGTCACATGAAAAGTTGCATGCTACTGACACATAACGGATATACCCTGACCAAGGCAGAAGAAAGTGATGTAATGCAGACAGTAAGCTTCAAGCTCTATTAACAGATAGATCTTCTATTAGCCTTTAGAGAGCAAGAAATAGTGTACATTCCCAATTTCTTCTTGAAGGCTATTCCTGTGTGACCTCTCCAAAAGCTTTCAAATAATTACTCTTGCTTCCCAATCAACCATCTGGAAATGGCCTGTAAATTTTCATCCCTGTGGAACAATACTCTCAATTTTTCCCATCTTTTTGTTTTGATTGAAAACAAGAATTCAGTTTAATGGACATCCATCCAAATCAATCAGAACGAAGTCGCTAAATGCTTCTTGCTGTTCCACTCACACTGGAGAGAGCAGCAGCTCACATAAAACTCATTCATTCAAGGCAAAGCTTGAAGGTAACACTACATCTCAGATCTGTCTGAATCCAAGTCATCCGTGAAGCGGTTGCATATTCCCTACAGTTCTGCTAGAGGTTGCTGCCAGAACTCTTTGCCAAGTGATGAATCACTTTGGCTTATACATATTACGAAACTTGTTTCTGGGTTAACAGCATGCAAGGTCCCTGCCCATCTGAGCAGGAGCCAAATGCAAGGCAAGGATGTCCAAAACATTCTTCAGTGATTTGGCAGGTACTCTCAGCTCAGATACAGAAAGGTGATAGAAGGCTTTGATATACCCCCTCTCCACCCCCTACCCCTAGATCTAGTCTAGTCAAAGTAATTGTAATACATGCCACCACTTACCCTAGTGGGCACAAACATCGACAAAATTAAACCACAGCTTGTTACTTTGGAGTCGACCAAAACCTGAGACTCTCTTTTAACTACTGCAGACAGTTGCAAACCTAACCTTGCATAAAGGTAGCAGAGAACACTTTCAAAGAACACTTTGTTATACAGAGTGGTATGTTTTAAAAAAAGCTTCCCCAATGGTGACTTTAGGTGCACCTTTCCATTCTCCCCTTGAGAAAGTAAAGTCTTATTCTTACCTGCCATGGCTCGTGTGAGGAACATCCCTCCCTGCTTGTTCAACAGAGAAACATCTAATGTTCCTCCACCCAAATCCACCACCAGGACATTAAACACATCAACTCTGTGGAGTCCATAAGCCATAGCTGCAGCAGTGGGTTCATTAATTACTCGCAAAATTTCTAGCCCTACAAGAGCAAAGAAATCAAGCCATAGTCACATGCACTTGAGCCATTTACCATTAATTTTCAACCAAACTTACCTCAAGTAAAACATCAGATCTAAGTGAGATGGCTCATAAAGTATTATTGCTTGGAAAACTTATTTAAGCCTAAAGTAATCCTCTTTCAGTGCCAGGATGAAGGCACAAACCATTAGTTACCCAAACATCTTTTCTCCAGAGAAAGCTTACTGAGGAGATTTATTTCACAGTGGTTCTATTTGCCTTTAAATTATTGTCAAAGGGTGCCCCACATTAATTCTTCGGGATTACCGAATACTTTCCCTAAACAAAACTTATTTCTTCTAGCCATGTATGTTTGCATTAATCCGCTGCCTCTCTTGCAACCCAAGAGTTCTTTGCTGTTCTTCACAATTGCTAATGATCTATAAAAATCAACTCTATGGTTTTCTACCACTGATTCACCGTTCAATTCGGAATCACTCTAAGGCCGTGCTGTAGTGAAATAAACCTAAAGATAATCTTGGGCTTAACAGGAAAACATTGGAATAAAGAGACATCACCTGCAAGGTTAGCTGCCTTAATGGTAGCATTCCGTTGCTTTTCGTCAAACTCTGCTGGCACAGAGATGACTGCCTTTGAAACAGGCATACCCAAATAGTCTTCTGCCATTCTCTTCAATTTCAGCAGCAGCTGAGAGCCGATATACTCTGGAGTGACATGAAAGGTTTCATTGGTTGCCACAGAAAACTCAGCTGATCCGTTGTTGTTGAAAATCTGGGAGAAAAAAGCAACACAACCCAGAGATGTGAATCTGTTTGTTACTAGAAACTACCCCCTTTGCTGCTGTCCCCCTTCATCCCCAAAAGCTGCATTTGCATATAGTCTGCTTATTCTGGAAAAATGTGAACGTACGTTTGCCACTCAAAAACCACTTAGCCTGGATCACTTTTATTCCTTGATTGCAAATAGCATGCAAAACAAGCTGCTTAAGTGGTTGGACTGTATCTGAAGCACTGTAGCCTACTGTGCCCAGATACATTAAAAATGTTAAAATCCTGCCACTGTTCTATTAACTGTAACATTACATGACACAACAGCATATTCAAAGATTAAAGTAATGCCTTTAATCATTAGATTCACCTGACTGATAAAGCATCCCACAAGTTCTTCCTGAAAGGAAGCAAACAGGCTGATACTAGAACAGTTCTTACCAAACCAAGAATTCAAAAAAACTGTTTCTAGTACCTGAAAATTTGTCTCTTTTCAGCAAATACTGAGCCATGCTAAATTAATGCAAGGTTTGCTACTGGCCCATTTAGCACTGGAAAAGTGCTTGGGGAGGGGGG